TGATTTATCACAAGGGTTTGCAGTTTATCGCGTTGATATCACCCCATAAAAAGTATGTGGTAAAATATATATTCCATCCAGCAGAGGGCAGTACTAGAAACCAAATCATTACAAATTCATTTATGACTAGGTGATAGCGTAAAGTTATTTGGCATACATACTATACTGACAGCTTGTGCCATACGCTCTCAAAGAAACTGCGGAACCACCTGATCAAAAAAAGCACGCTAAGAAGTGAGTTGTAGCTCATGAAAGCTTATGCTCAAATAAATTGGTTAGTCTCTAAGGTGCCACAAGTACTCCTTTTCTTTTTGTAGAAGTCAGGGAGTGGCCTACTCCTACAAATTGTTCAGAATATGCTAAGCACCAAAAAAGTTAAAAATAAATAAATAAAAGGTTAGATATTCAGACCTTGGCAGCTGAAAGTGTCATAAGCCACTGAGTAGAAACCGTAAAGCACAAATCAGCTGGAGATGAAAATCCTTTCTCTTGTCCTCTGCCACTGATGTAAGCGGTTAAGTGTGGCAATAGGAAATGAAATTACAGTGTTCCACCGTAGAGACTAACCAATTTATTTGAGCATAAGCTTTCGTAAGCTACAGCTCACTTCATCTGATGCATGTCAGTATGCATCCGATGAAGTGAGCTGTAGCTCAGGAAAGCTTATGCTCAAATAAATTGGTTAGTCTCTAAGGTGCCACAAGTCCTCCTTTTCTTTTTGCGGATACAGACTAACGCGGCTGTTACTCTGAAACCTGTCATAGTGTTCCACGTTACTGGTATACTTCTGTGTGTGGGTCTGTTGACTCAGGGTGTGTACGGATACCTCTCTTGTGAGTGTATGCCACGTGTCTATGGAATGTGTCTGTGGCAACTGGTGTATCAGGGCCGCCCAGGGACTCTAGTAGTGTATGTTGTCGCTACATGTGTATTATGAGTCAGTGCCTATGGGTATGTTTTCTATAGGTCTGTTTATGTTGGGTTACAATGTGTGATGTCAGTGGGTTGGTGTATGTGACAGAGTTCATGGCTGTGGGTGGTGCCAATGAGCACAGCTGTGTGTGTACTGTCTGTATGCCAATTGTGTGGTTCCCTCTGGGTGGACACTGCGTCAGCGAGTGTCTGCGTTGTGTGCCGAGTCGGTGTGCTCGCCCTGTGATGGGCAGATACCCCCCGCTGCCTGCAGAGGGCGCCCTGGCTCCGCTCCGGCCGCCGCTGCTCTCCGCTGCCCGGGCCCGCGACTGGGCGGGGCCGGGGGAGCGGCCTGTGGGCCGGGCCGGGCCGGATGGCGGGACGCTGGGGAAGGCGCTGGACTGGGCCGGGCGCTGCCGCCGCGGAGCTGGGGCGGCAGAGGCAGGTTCGCGCTCGCCTGCTGCGTGCGGAGGCGAGGGGCTGGAGGGAGGCCGGAGACAGGGACCCCGTTCTTCTGGGGCTCGGCTGGAGGGAGCCGCGCAGGGCTTGTGGGGCTGCGCTGGGGCTTGGGCGGCAGAGGGACCCTCCCCGCGCTGGGCTGGGTGGTTACGAGGCCGGAGTCCCCGTCTCGGCAGTGGGGTCCGTTGCGGGGCCGGGATTCCCGTGTAGGCGGGGAGGGGGGTAGCCCCAGGGATCCCTGCTCTTGTATTGTGCTTTCGGGGTTCACTTCCTCCCCTCCCTCTCCACAGGGACTTTTTGCCCCCGGAAGGGACCTTCTGGTGAGCTAGGTAGCAGGCAGAGACCTGTGAGATTCAGCCTGGGACTGGGGATTCTCCCTCCCTTTGCCTGAAGGAAGCTGGGTAGCTATTGCCGGGTTGGTGCCTTGCCCTCCTCTTGGGTTTGTTTTCCTTCCCTCAAACAGCTCCACTTTGATCTCCCTTTGGCCCTGGCCATTCATGTCTGCCTCATACCTTTCTTTGGCCTCGGTGCTGTAAATTCAGCGGATCGCATTTACAGAGGGCACCGAATAAATACTGAAGGGAGGAGTAGCAAATACACATGGGGGCAGAGCAAACTGAAGGAGAGTTCATGAACTAAATATAAAGTTCTGGCCCTTCTCCCACACAGGAAATAGAGAGAGCTCTGGTGTGAAGTGTGTGCAACAGAATAACAGCAGCATCCAGATTAAAGTTAAATTATGTTCATTTGCTGGCTTTAAATACATCCTCATTACTTTTTTCTTCTTCTGACCCAATACTGTAGTTGCCTCGGGGAAGATATGGGCTCAGGATTAGGAGAATGATATTGTTTGAGTGGGATCACAATACAAAAAAGTTTAATAACCACCTCCATACATTTTTATGCCAGTTCCCCCTGTGGCACCTTCAAAGAATTCCAGTTCTTCTAAAGACTGGGAAAGGGCCTCTGGGATGGATTTTGGCAGCTTGTGTTTGACCTACACCCAGCGTTCTCAGTCTGTCAATGTACCTGTGAGATGGCTATTTAGCTCACATGCTACTACTGCTCACCTTGCTCCTGGATGGCTTGTCCCCTTTCAAAAATTGACTTTATTTCTCCAGCTGAATTTTACCAGGATAAACTGGGAGCTCCCTATTGAAAAAAATTAGGTTTTTTTCCCTCAAATGTGATATACATATTTGATTGTTGATCCTAAAGAGACAATCACCCATGCTGAGAGCATGCAACCAGTAAAAGGATTATTTAAAGAAAATAGGAACATGAGAGTTGTAGGAGTAAAATAGGAGGATCAAGTGAATGAAATAAGTTGTAAGTCTTATCACATAGACTAGTTCCACTGATTTTGTTAGGAATACGTAAATACAAATACTGCACAACTGATTTTTCCCTTCCAAAATCTCAAGATGGATTTAATTAATATTATTATTTGAAACTGAGGGGGGGGGACGACGACGACCACTTTCAAACACATAAATTCATAGTCAGGCACCTGTAAGGGAGTCTTATTGCTTGGTATCCAAGAAGAGAGGCACTCAAAACTCAGTGGCCACTTGTGAAAATTTGCCTGCCTGCAGCTTTCCCAAGGAGAGACAGGAGGTTTATGGCAGATCTCCTGAGTCCTAATACAGCCGCTTTACTACAAGGCCTGCCTTCCTCTCCTCAATATGATCTTAGGGCTTGTCTACCTAGGGAAGTTTTCTGGGATAAGGTAGGGTGGGAATTTAAAGCACAGTAGCTCTTCTGATCAATTTCCTCATGTAGACAAGCCCTTATTACAAGTCTTTCTGAGATCTGAGTACTGTGTTCTAAGTCATTCATTATGGTAGAAACAGCATGTAATTGAGAATAATTTTTCCAAGGACTTAATGGCAGTAACTACAGTATGTATAGTAATCTCAAAAGAAAAGCCAGTAAAATATCTAGAGGAAAAAAAAATTTTAACCCTCTTACAGAAATACTGGGTTGTGCACGTAAAGAGTTGTGATGAAAGCAAAAGATAGATGCCTCCTTACATTTTCTTTTCCTTTTATTATCACTGGTGACTCAGACAACACATTTTTCTCTTTCTGTTGTACCTATCGTCTTATCCTCTTGTCTGTCCTCAGGGAACGTAGTCAGTTTTGAGGAACCTAATTGAAAAAAAGTAACCTCATGAGCTTTAAGAAGTTGTTGGAAAAAATTTAAAATTTCTGTGCAGAAGGGACAAAAAGGTGTATTAGCTTCCTCAAGTGGATTAAACTGGTCTGAGCCCAGGAAATCCTGCAATATTCCACCATCATTAATAGATATGAGAATTTGTTCATTACAGTGCATTTCCCAATGCAACACTGAACTGAGTTAAAACAACCCCAGAAAGGAACAAAAGGACACTCACCTGGTCTAGGAATAGCATGATCCCAGCAGCAACAGAAGAATGTGGGTTTTAAGCCTTCCCCAGAACTTTGTCATAGGGAATAGGGCTGGGTGGATAGCATACAGAGGTCCCAGCATCTAACAGAGCTGATGATTTTGTCATCATGACTTTTAGAGTTGCAAAGCACTGTGCAAAATTACTCCAATAGCTGGAGCTTTAAGAGAAACAAGCAATTATTGCAACACTTACAACGAATTCACAGGAGTTGCCAACACTGAAGGTAGGGTACCACATAAATGTTAAGTAAAAATAATCCCAAAATAACCACATGCCTTATATGTGTTGTGTGGCAAGAGGCCAAAGACAAGGATTTCATTCATGGGAAGCGTTTGGAGCCCATGTAGTCTGCACCAGCTTTTGAAGTGTTTGGTTTTCTGTAATGGCTGCAGGTTTGTTTGTTTATTTGGGGGTGGGGGGCAGGGGCAGCATGGTGGAAGAGGGTAGGTTAACCTACAATGAAGTCAGGTGACTGAGTCCTTATTAGCTTGCTTATACTGAATACCCACATAGATCTACAGGATTGGAACCATAGTTTGAACAGTGTTTAATCAAATTGCTCATTTATCTAGCCCATTCTACAGATCTGTGAAATAGGCATTGCAAGAAATGGAATCTGACAGCTAAATGTTCAGATTATATGGGTGCCGTGGGTGCACAGATAATTACTTTCAGAGTAGCAGCCATGTTAGTCTGTATTCGCAAAAAGAACAGGAGTACTTGTGGCACCTTAGAGACTAACAAATTTATTTGAGCATAAGCTTTCGTGAGCTACAGCTCACTTCATCAGATGCTCACAAAAGCTTATGCTCAGATAAATTTGTTAGTCTCTAAGCTGCCACAAGTACTCCTTTTTAAATAATTACTAGTTAACCAACCTTTAGAAAATGTAAGAATCTCTCACAACAATAATACTTTCTGAATGACTGAAGATACTTGCCCTTTGGCATTGTGCCTAACAATTGGTGTGGTCCATGACTTCAGTGGTGCAAGATCAGGCAAGTGTATCTAAAACATGCCTGTCTCCCCTGTCACCATCCACACACAGTTGTTAAACTTTAAAAGTGACTTGCAGAAATGGCTACAAAGATCAGTGACCTCAGCAGTAAGTGCTGAGCCATTCACTAGCCAGGCTAAATGGGGGATTCAGTACAATGTCAATATATTTTTTTTTTTTAGGTGCTGTGACATCAGTTCCCCCCCAAGGCCATCCAGCTCTATCTGCAATGTGATGCCCCAGCCTGCACCACATTATGACAATACAGCTACCAGAGGTCTCATGGAAGTATAGAACAAGCCCTGGGAGGGTAAAGCTAATCCCAATTTTATAATGTACAGCATTTATTTTATGCCATCAACCTGTAAGATTTCAAAAGATATTGAAAATAGCTTGTTGTATTGTAAAAATAGCTTCAACCCAATCCCTTACAGACTGGCTACATAATCTAACATGGTTCTGTGTTACCAATAGTGGAACAGTGTGCTCTCACACAGATATTAATCATTCGTGTTATGCACTTGGAAGTGTGTGTATAAAATCTCTAGAAACCTGAAATGACTTTCTTGAAATTCTGTCATTAACCTAAGAGTAAGATTTGTCAGTGTGGTGCTGAGGCATGTAATTCCCCTCCCAGCCCCATTCCCACGCGTATGATATATGGAATTTAGACTCTGTATCTGTGGTATCTTCATGCAGACTTCACTCTGGAGTTGCTACTGACACCTCCACAACACCCTTGGAAAGCTTGTTTTCTAGTTCATTCCATGTTACTTGGTCAATGGCATACTGAAGATAAACTTGTACTTCCTGAAAGCCATTTGTTTTAATTTTACTCAGTGCTGAGGCATGCCTTATTTGTGTTTAGAAAAACTGGTGTTTCTTGAGCCTTTCAAGTTAGAAATGTAACTTACCAGCTGAAGCAAACAACAAAAAACAAGTTTGAAATACTGGGTATTTTACTTGAAATACAGAAATATAAAACTTGCCAAACTTATAATAAAGGGAAAACAAATTTTAGAAATCCATTGTGAATGTGATGTTTTGTGGCCTGATTCAAAGAAATATATTCTGGAGGACTTATTTGGAAAGTTACAAGAAATCAATATTATGTGATTTAGACTCCAGACCAAGTTTAAACAGAATCCTATTCTTAATTATCTGACATCATGAACAAATTCTGATGTAACAGATTTCTTCTTAAATGCTTGGAGATATCAGAGAGCCAGAATATGAAGCCCTTATTTGCACTGGTAAGCAATACTTCCATGAGCAGTTACATTGAAGTCAGTGAGGGTATTCATGTGAGCGAGTATTCACAAATGTGAATGAGGGGTTCACAATCTGACCCATTATCATTAAAAAGGGTATTTGGTAGCCCATTATTTCAGTGGGCTAATCTTACCCTAAGAGGCCTGGATTCAAAACCTGGCTTTCGTCTGAAGGGTAAGTGAGTTGCTTGATTTACATTACCCTGTAGTGTACAGTTTTTTCACATTACAGATATATTAAAGTTTGGTACCACTGCACAACTGTCAGTCTACCAAAGGCAGACCAGGTACTCAAATGCCACAGGTGACGTAAATTAGGATTATGCATTAGTACATTGTGTGGAGTAACCTGTACGGTATTTGCTTGTGTAATACCTGGTTCTGGACAATGCCATTTTTCCTTTTTAATAAACAGTAAATATAAGCAAGTGCATTATGGATTAGAGTCTGTATTTGCAGTTTTATTCTGTTTGACTTTTATGTTCCCAAACAATGTTTCCTGTGGCCAAATTACTGAAAACTTTGATCTGGTCTTTTAAATTGATATAGTCACACTGGCTGTATTTTGTGTCATTGAATTTGGCAGGTCCATTTATAAGATTGGAAATATCTGCTATATCAAGTCATCCGTCTGGATGTGGAGGTTTTTTGAGAGAGAGGATATTCAGCATTGATAAACGGATTTGTGGATTTGCATGGGGTAAAAACAGAGCCAAAAATAAACATCTGAAATTGAATCTCAGCACTTGAATGATGGCTCCTCAGCTGTATACACATGCTTTCAATATCTCTTCAGTAGAGAATAGGAGATTGTGTATAAATGGAACACCATGGATTTGGCATCTCTTGGAAGAATGTGTAGAAAATGCGTGGGAGTACTGGAGCGTTGTCATAGGACTGATTTCCATTGTCTGTTTTCTGTTTGCTGCACTACCGTAAGTTTAAAATCTTAAGCAGTCTTCAGATTCACATGAGTAATCTTGCCTGAAGCCTTTTTCAAAAGCTGCCTTTTTAAAGTTGATCTTGGATACATTTCTGTTTCCATCTGCATAATAGCATATGCCAAAGTAGTATGATGTTCATGTTTAGAACAGTATTTCAGTATTTGGTGGTTGGCAAAAGAGCTTGATGTACTTATTTTATTGCGCCAATCTGACACAAATCTCTGCCGCTGAGAGCAAATGAGAATAGGGCCATGTCTACATTAGCGAGCTTACGGCAGCATCAGTGCAGCTGCGCCACTGTAAGATTGTTCCTATTGCCACTCTATGCCTATGGGAGAGAGCTCGCCCATTGACAAAATAGCTACTGCCACTCATGGAGGTGGTTTTATGTCAGCAGGAGAAGCTCTCCTACCAACATAGCACAGTACACACTACCACTTATGCCAGCCAAACATACGTCATTCAGGAGGGTAGTTTTTTTCCCCACATGGCTGAAGGACATAAGTTTGGCCAACAGAAGTGGTAATGTACATGGCCTATGTCACCCTCACCTCATCTCTCCTACACTTGCATGTGTGCACACACCTGCAGTCTTTAGTGGAGAGTGGACTAATATTATTTAAACCACATGTTATGTGTCACATACTATCCTGCTGCTCCTGGTCAATGAACACTGGGACTGAGAAAGGGTCAGAAACGGAGTGTCGGTCAGCATTTCTGCAGTGCTGTGTGAGGTGCTTATGCTGGGTTCATATTTCAAATATGCAGGTAGGGAATAGCAGGAGCTGAATAGGTGAAAATGTCTCCACATAGGGAGAATATTAGTTACTGAACTAGTAAAGGGTGTCTGGAAATCATGAAGAATAAAACCATTTTTGAGCCATTCAGCCTCTGAAATATTATTTGAAAGACACCTTTACATTAAAACTGTGACGTTGGTGAGCATTGCATTAAACTGCTAATAGACTCTCATCCCTCTGTCATAGAAGCTTTGTGTATCCCTCGCCATTTTATTGCAAAATGTGAATGTTTTTCCAGTTTCAACATTACTAAAGATGGTTACTACAGCATGGTACATCAAACACTAATAGCTTGGTTATGTTGTTCAAATGGTGTGTTTCACTCCCTGCCATGGAAAAATAGCACATGCAAGCAAGCAGTATTGGGGACAGGTTGAGCCTGTTATTTCTAGGCTTAAGAGAACCAGAAATATTGAGCTGGACGTATTTTTTTCAAAATACTAGTTTTGTCATTTAGTCCCCCTACAGGAAATTCCTTGTGACTGGGCTTTTTTAAAGTAAAATGTATTTAAAGAAGTTAAATGTTTCATGTTTGCATCTCTTGTGATTTTTTTTTCATAGTCAACTTTATGTTGCTTATCAGAATGGAAAAGTGGACCAAGCACTCTCTCTGGGCTTTTTGCTGTGTTGGATTGGTGGGGACCTTACAAATTTCATAGGCTGTTATTTAACAAATCAACTGCCAATTCAGGTAATCAGCTTTTCTACATGATGATTTATCATTTTTAAAATATATATTTTTAGCTGTTGCAGGGAGAGACAGATACTAGAAAAGCAAATTATCGCCAAGTTTGCTCTCTTCATCTACTCATCACCCTTTTATAAGTTTGTATTGTGTGGCTTCGTTAGCACAGTAGAAGTGATTCTGTATCACGAACTAGTTCCCTTTATACTATTACTTGTATTGCATAAACCATTTCACACAATTAAGCATTTAAGTAGACTAAATGGGCTTTATTTGATAAGAAGTTCAGTGGGAATTTTCCAGTTTATTTTCAAAGTAAGTTTCCCTCATAAGTCGGGTTGAGTGTGAGTGGAGTCAATTAACTTTTTGTAGTCTAACAACAAAATCAAATTGTTCTAGAATAGTAGAAATGTAGGACTGGAAGGGACCTTGAGAGGTCATCTAGTCCATCGCCCAACCCAGGCAGGACCAACTATACCTAGATCTTCCCTGACAGGTGTTTGTCTAACTGGTACTTAAAATCCTTAATGAGAATTTCACAACCTCCCTTGGTTACCTATTCCAGTCCCTACGGTTAGAAAGTGTTTCCTAATATCTAACCTAAATCTCCCTTGCTGCAGATTAAGCCAGTTATTTCTTTTCCTGCCTTCAGAGGGCATGGAAAAAAATTGATCACAGTCCTCTTTATAACAGCTCTTAACATATTTGAAGACTTACCAGGTTCCCCCCCCCCCCCAACTTCTTTTCTCAAGATTAAACATATCCGGTGTTTTTTAACCTTTCCTTATAGGTCAGCCTCTCTTTGAACATTTTTGTTGCTCTCTTCTGAATTGTCTCCAGTTTGTCCACATCTTTCCTAAAGTGTGGACCCCAAAACTGGACACAGTACTCCAGCTGAGACTTCAGCAGTGCAGAGAAGAGCAGAAAAATTACCTCCTATGTCATACATACAACACTTCTGTTAATACACCCCAGAATATTAGGTTTTTCACAACTGCATCACATTGTTGGCTCACATTCAGTTGTGATCCACTATAACCCAAAATCTTTTTCTGAAGTACTACTGCCTAACCAGTTGTTCCCCATTTTGTATTTGTGCATTTGATTTTTCTGTCCTAAGTACTTTGCACTTGGCTTTATTAAATTGCATCTTGTTGATTTCAGACCAGTTCTCCAAGTTAGAATCATAGAACTGGAAGGGACCTCGAGAGGTCATCTAGTCCAGTCCCCTGCACTCAAGGCAGGACTAAGTATTATCTAGACTATCTTTGAGAGGTGTTTGTCCAACCTGCTCTTAAAAATCCCCAGTGATGGAGATTCCAAATATATCCTTTTAAATTGAAGCTCTTGCCCCTTTTCCTTGGCCCCTTGTCTATTAGTAAAGAAAAGGAACTAGGTCAAAGATGGGTTTATCCGTGAATAACTTGAAAAGAGTACTTATTGTAGGAATAGGAAGATTTCTCTGTGAAAAATACCAATGTAGCTAGGCATTGATACTTTAGCTGGATCTGCAACCTTTTCTGCCTTTACTGATCTCCCTTCCCCTCTTGCTTTAAAAAAAAATGTGCTTCGTAAGCTGGAAGGCTGTCACAGGCCATAGGGGAGACAAAGACTGGGTGGAGACTAATTCCAGTTTGTAACACAGTTCTGCAGAAGATCCCTGTTCAGGCAGCATTACCCATTCTATCTCCCCAGCTGGGCAATAGCAGGACAGCCAGCCACACCCTTTTCGTATGGGGGAGGCAGTGAGCGTGCACCCTGCCTTCCTAAGTGAACTTCTGGCGCCCAGATGGGGCAGAGACACATCTCTGGGTAAGGGAAGGGATTAACACCTAGCCCAGATAGGGATTGTGCCACATTCCTTTAAAATCTGTTTAAACCTTTGCAGTTGTAGCAGTAGTTAGACTGCGTAGCTCAAGCTCTGTGCTGCCTCAGGTCTAAGGACCAGGAATTTGCCTTCCTGTAAATATATACTACAGTGCTCTGCAGCAGCCTAACTTGGTTTGTATCCTAAACAGCTTTTTTGCAAACTTTTGGCACTTATCATTTCTGTGTTCTCTACATCATGTAAATCATTTCCAAAAAGACCATCCTATTTTGTTGAATGTATAAGAAGGTGCATCTTATGATTTCTTTTAGATTGTCACTGCCATCTTTTATGTTAACATGGACATAATTGTGATCTCACAGTTTGCCTACTATAAGCTCAAGAATCAGAAGACAACAAAATGTAAGATTTTCAACAATTAATTCATTTCCCACAATATGAAGTGGAATACTTTGGTCCTTGATATTCTTTTCTTAAACTTTCAAGTATGAGTTTTCAGAGGGGTTTAAAAGGAGGTGAGCACCCAAATCCCAGTTCAAGTGTTCTTAGGCCCCTGTGAAAATCTCATTCTTCCCCCTTAGGGCATGATTTACAATTTTTGCAGAGTAATTTATATCTATCCCTAAGTTCAACTAGTCTGTTCAAAATTTGTTACATATTCCTAGTTGCCAAAATTCTGCAATAGCTGTGAGTATTTTCTGTGTAAGACTGTCACTTTATATAGGTGTTTAAAAAATGCAATAATTTGTGGAATCTAGTTGCTTGCTTTAGCTTATTCCTTAGTTTTACTATCTACTTTCAGCTATCTAAACATATGTAAAAGAAGATTGAAAGCTTGCATTTCTTTCCATTATGTTATGTTCAATTAGTTTCCCTGATTTTGATCAAAGTTGGACTTTTTATTTTGTATTTGCTAACTGCATAAAATAACTTGACATTTTCATGTGTTCTGTATCTATAACTATACATAGTCAAAAAGACCCAATGGAAAAGGAATGAAATTACTTGATTTGCTTCATAAAATCCTGCAAGTAATTATAGTGTTTAATCTTGGAAAATTTTCAGTCTTCCATTTATATTGCAATAGCAGTCAAAGTTCTGTTCAAATTGTAAAAGCTCAGGAAAAACAGCATACCTGACTATATCAATAGAAACATTTTTAAGTCAAAATATAAATATTAAAATTAAAGGTCTAACAAAGGTAATAAAAAGCGGAGTTACAATTTAGACGTGCCCAGCTGAATAAAGAACCAAGGGCAGCAGATATGGAACTGCTCTTAAATCCATGCAATATCTAACCACATCAAGATTAAAATTACATGGTGTGTCCTTAGCTCTGATTTTCTTTGTTTTTATTTCATAACCTTAAAAAAATAAAAGGATATTCACAGGTCCGGTTGCTGTGCCACTTTTCAGTCACACTCGTGCCTAACTAGAAGGCAAAGGATAGTTTTCAGGTTAAGGTGGTGGAGTGGGACTCCAGAGATCTGGATTCAGTTCCCAGCTCTACCTCAGACTCGTGTGTGACCTTGGGCAAGTCGGTTTGGGCCAGATATTTAAAGGTATTTAGCTGGTGCTGCGCTCAATATTGCAAAGTCTAATTGATTTATGAGACTTGATTAATTTTCAAAAGGGATTTAGGAGTTTAGATGAGTGCAGCACCAGCTAAATATCTTTAAATATCTGGGTCTTAGTCTTCGTGCTTCAGATCCCCATCTGTTAAATGGCAATAGTAATATGTCCTTTGTCTTGGCTGTTTAGACTGCAAACTCGAAGGGCAGGGACTTTCTCTTGCTATATATCAATTCAGCTTCTAGCACAGTGGAGTGCTGATATCATCTGGAGCCAGTAAGCACGACTGTATTATAATACAGGAGCTACCTTATCTACTGAATTATTTATAATATTTTCTGCTATTTTGAAATCCTTTGTAGGTGACTATAGCCCCAATCCAGCAAGTCACATAAGCACATGCTTAACTTTAAGCATGGGTAATCCCACTGATTTGAGTAGGACCACTCATATGCTTAGTTAATCATGTACTTAAGTGCTTTGCTGGATGGGCCTGTATTAACAGCAAAGCCTTTGGGACAAATGGAATGAAATTTACATTCCAAATGTCTTTGTATTTGGGGTGTTTAATCAATACTTGTGGAAAGAAAGTGTTCTGTTCTATTGTATTTAGCAACTTTTTGATTATTGTACTAGCTAAACCTGAATGTGTTAGCAGGAGCTAATTTAAAAAGTGGATTGAATGTGAAACTTGTCTTCACTTGAAGATGTTTAACTCTATATGCTAAATTACAAGCAAATAGCAATGTTACTAGCCAACAAGTCATTTGTCAGCTGACTTATTGTATTTTATTGTAGGCAGCATAAACCTGAAGAATTTCTGTGTAACCTGGGTCTTGATGTGTATAACATTGTGTGTAATTTTACCCAGTCAGCTACTGCTACGAAACCAAGACCAGAGTACTGTGCTGGAAGCTAGCAAGGTAGTTTGTTTTTTAGTTAACGTCCCGCCTTCACAAAAAGACTATAAATAAAATTTTGGTAAGGATTGTGGATATGCTTCTTAGGAATTTGCATGATGATCCTAATTGCTTTAGTAATTGTGTGCGCAATATTATGGGTATTTGTTTGAACGATACTTGCCAAACCCCCACCCCAAAATATAGAAGTTGCCTAAAAACAGCCATGGAGATGTCTTGCAGTTAAGTCTTTCTGTCTTGATGTTTGACATCAGGCTGTATTTCCAGCTGGTGTTATTAAAATGCAGGCAATTAGGCATTACACAGCTTTCCAGTTTCTATGAGTGGAAATTCTGAAATGATTATAATTATTTGTAATTAACTTGTTTAGCTACATATACTAATTAACTGAATTTTTCTGTAGTCATTTAAGGCAGTAATAAAAATCACTATTGTTTTCTTTTAAATTTGTGGCCTGAAAATATTAACTGAGACGTTAAAATCTGTCACAGTGAATTGGGGGTTCTTTTTTCTCCTAAAGAAATTTTGAGTGCACTCATGCAAGCTTTCAGCTTGCATTGTTTTCATAGTTTGTACCTAAAGAAATATTTTTCCATCTTCTGAAAGAAGGCAGGCTCCTTTTCTTCTCCCCTCTACCCAACCTGTTTAGATTTTCCTTCAAAAGAGTGAGGACCATAATCTCACACTTCTCCCAAACTGAGAATATTTCTTGATGCATTCCTAGCTCTAGGCTACTGCTGCATTATTTCAATTATTGTACCTGCCTACTGAGGAAAAAGATGTACATGAAGTAATGACTTAGTGCAAACAAATGGAGCATAGTTCATGTTATGTAATATCCCTTCTCCTGAATAGGGGCAGGAGTTTGGGAGGATATTATCCCTCTTTTGAATTTTGCAAGCTATGAATTTACGCTTTTTAAGATGCACTTTATCTTACTAATGGAGCTATATTAGAATGCATAACTCTGTAGATTAAATTAGAGTAACATATGAATGCACCTTCTCTTCACTGATACTAGGTAACATAGGCAGTCATTTGGAGACTGGAAACCCTGGTTTAGCCTCTGATGTGGGAAGAAATTACACTTGTATCTGCTGTTGCCTAATACGAGAGTTGAGCGGTACATAGGTGATGGAACTAGGGGTGCTGCCAGTGGCTTTATGTGGTTTCCATTATATACATGGCTCACAGTTTGGTTAAATGGCTCTCAGCACCCCCCCCCCCCCGCTATAAAAATTGTTCCAGCACTCCTGGAGGGGTATATTCCACCATTTTGCTGATCTTCGTAATAGTGCTGGTTTATTACCTATACAGTAATCCAAACTACATTGCTCAGCAAGGAAGCCTTATTTTCAAAATGTAGCAGAGTGGGGAAATTAACACAATTCATGTTGAACACAGTGGAAAAGTCATTAAGTGTCGTGCTTTCTTGCCACAATGTGCTTTGCTTTTCGCTGGCCATTGCTGTAGTTCTTAATTTTGACTTTAATCACCGAGTCTAGCTCTTTCACTATTGAGAATAGATGCATTTTGCATTAATGTTTAGCATTAAATCCCAACTGTTGCATGTAACTAGCTTTGATTCTAATGTGCACCACTCTGAGGTAAAGATCAAACTCTTTCTAGCAGTCACCTCTTTGGCCATTTACAGCAGCATTGAACTGCTTTGAAGGGAGTTCTGATCCAGTCCCTTTCCAGAAAGTCAGTGGCCATAATGCAGGCCTTGAGAGGAAGTTAAACTGTAAGTTAAAACCTCTTGAAATGTTAAAAGGTATTTTTAAACAAAATCTTTGTGTTTTTTGTTGGTTTTTCAGAACACTCTTGGTATGATAGAAATGTCAGGCTTCATTTGTGGCTATGTATCTTGCATGTTTTACTTGGGATCTAGATTTCCCCAGCTGTATAAAAACGTAAGTATATTTTTGAGAGAGTTCACTTAAATTGCATAATGCTTCCTGTTGCTTGATACACTGGAATCTTCCTCTCATTGAACACAAACTTCCATTTCCATTTGAAATCTGAACTTTGCATTTGGAACTATCTGAAATGGGAAGAGGCAAGGAAGGAAAACTGCACATCTTTCAGAGAGGACAGGAGAAGTAGATCTGAATCTGAAGGTGGGGGCAGAGGTATGCATTGCACATGAAAAGCAAACATACAGTTTATATCTCTAGATTGCCAAGTGTTCTCTATTAAATAAGTAAGTAAACAATGTAGAGAGTTTTATAGAGTACAGTGAGTTAAAACATAATCCACTATGACTTCAAAAATCCCATTATTGATTTCATAATCTTCCTACTGTCAGTGAATAAGGCTGCAATCCTTTCATGGAGGTCGCAGAAGTCACAGATTCCGTGACTTTCTATGACCTCTGTGACTTCCGCAGGGGCTGGTGTGTCTGACTTCAGGGCCACCCGAGCAGCCCCTGCTCAGGTAGCCCACAGCCAGCAGCACTGGCCAAGGCTGGAGTGACCCATGACCAGCTCCTCCGGTGGTCCCCAGGGCCAGCCGCACCGGCCGTTGCTCGGGAGGCCCAGGTTCAGCTGGGCCTGGGGACCCCCTGAGCAGCGGACGGTGTGGCTGGTCCCGTGGACCGCCTGAGCAATGGTCCTGGGAGCAGCCCCCGGGGAGCGCCTGAGCAGCAGTCCTGGGGGCCACCCCGGAGCCAGCTGCATCAGCCATTGCTCAGGCAGCCCCAGTCAGCTGGCTCCAGGGACTATGCAAGGAGCAGCCGGTGTGGCTGGTCCCAGGGACCGCCCAAGCAGAGGTCCTTGGGGCGGCCCCGTGGAGCATCTGAGCAGCTGTCCTGTCCCGGGGCTAGCCGCATCAGCCACTGCTGCGGCCCCGGGCAGCAGAATAGCGGCCTGTGTGGCTGGCTCTGGGGAGCGCCTGAGCAGTGGTCCTGAGAGTGCCCTGGGAACTGCCCAAGCATCAGCGGTCCCCGGGCGGCCAGAGCGGTGGTCCTGGGGTGGCATCCAGAGAGCAGTCCCTGGCAGCAGCGGCCAGGGGACAGTCAACCCCCAGCACTACAGCAGGTTGTCCCCCAGAGCAACGAGGCCCCAGAAGTAGAGGTTTAGTCAGGGGTATTTCTGGTAAAAATCATGGACAGGTCGCGGGCCGTGAATTTTTATTTATTGCCCAAAAATAAAAGGAGTACTTGGAGAACCACTGTATTTTCCACTGCATGCATCCGATGAAGGGAGCTGTAGGTCACAAAAGCTTATGCTCAAATAAATTTGTTAGTCTCTAAGGTGCCACAAGTACTCCTTTTCTTTTTCCGGATACAGACTAACATGGCTGCTACTCTGAAACCTATTTATTGCCTGTGACCTGTCCATGACTTTTACCAAAAATACCCGTGACTAAATCTTAGCCTTATCAATGAGTGAAAGATTTTATATATGCAGAGAACAGACATTGGAATGCGTTTTGATCTTACATTGAAAAAACTTGGCACCGTGAAGTACAGTTTATTTCCAATCCAACAGGCCTCTCTGAAGTAAGCTATTAAAGCATTTTCAAAATGTTCCACCGAAGAAAGGGAGGGAGTAACAGATTTCTGAAGAAATAAACAGTAACATTTTATAATGTGCTAGAGTCCCATTCTGGTCTGCAGCTGCAGGAGTTAACATGCATTATTCCCCAGAACTATGCACGTTACTACTGATTTAGATTATTCTGGTGCAGAAAGTAATAGATCTAATGGAGGCAGAAGCATTAGAAACATAGGTAAATGTTTTCTAGCTGGAAAAGAATAAGTGTTTGAATTTGTGGGGGCATGTTAGAAAGTAAAATAACTGGAAAATATCCATAACTCATCACTGTAATAATGTATGTGACAACTTTTATTTTCCTATCAAAGTTTTTTTTTTTTTTTTTTAATATTTATTTGTAGTTCCAGAGAAGGTCCACAGAAGGCACATCTTACCTGCTGTTTGCATTAGCCATGATGGGAAACTGTACTTATGGACTGAGCCTTGTTTTAAAGATGCCTGCAGCTAAGGCTCTCAGAAACCTCTACTTTTTACACCATCTTCCATGGCTCATTGGGAGCTTTGGAGTTCTGTTTCTAGATATTTTTGTATCCTTTTCCAGTTAGAGCAAGAGTTTCTCAAAAGTGTGTTTTTAAATATTGGACAATAATTTGAGATTGAATTGGAGTTTTGGACGGCTTTCATTCTGCATCTAAACTGATTGTGAAACGTCATCTTTTTAAAAATGATTTGCCCAGTTTTATAAGATGGCCAGTAACTTTGAATAAGGTATCCAAATTAAAGCTACATTGGATAGCTTTACTTTTTGTAGTCAATACACAGTGGACTAAATTTTCAGTTTTAGGCGTGCGCAATGGCCCTCCCATTTGTGCATGGCTAATGTGTGTTTAATACCCGAGAAACACACAAATTATTTCCAAGTGCACAAGGCAGATTATAACTGAAACTGGCCCATTTTTAAAGGTATCTTAAATCAACTTCTTGCCATATTCATCTAGAGGTAAAGGACAAACATGAAGCTTATTAAGATATTTTTCAAAACATAATATGTAGTGGACATATGTTGCAGTTGTCCATAAAACTAAGTGCATCACCCGGGGCACAAACATATGCATTCATGCATTTAAGTGTATCTTAAGGTAAGCTATTATTTTTGAAGAGTCATGCACAATAGCACATATTACAACATAGGTTAGCTTGCCAGGCTGCTGCAACTGACAGAAGGAGTTTGGTCTTAAATGAACTTCTCTCTTAATTCAGATTTGTATTGTGTGTGTTTCCAGTGTGCTAGTTATTGCTATATATGTGCACTCATTCTAGGAAGATGATTGTTCTTGTTGATCGTAAAATACTAATAAGAGCAAATTGTTGAACAATATTGAGCCTTTGTTTCATAAGTCTTGTGAATGGTAACATATTTGTTGGTCTTACCACCTGTATAACTATCTACCCCATTATCCTTGCCAGTTAAAATTCCATGTTTTGTCTATAAAGCCAGTCAAAGAACCAGGAGGGCCTTGATATGCATAAGGAAGGAGAATACAGCAAGTTGTAGGAAAACCAGCCCATTTTAAACTGAATTTGGACTCCTATTTAGTAGCCTTATGAATTTAAGTGCAACACATCCACAGAGGAGCCTTGGGGCAGGTCTACATACAGCCCAGATCGACACTCTGAGATTGATCCATTAGTGGTCGATTTAGGGGGTCTAGTGAAGACCCGCCAGATCAACAGCAGATCGCTCTCCAGTCTATCCCTGTATCCAACCCCTGACGAGAAGAGTGAGGTAAGTTGACGGCAGATTTTCTCCCATCGACCCCTCGCAGTAACTCAACCTAAGGTACGTCAACTCCAGCTAAGTTATTCACACAACGCAGAGTCATCCTGTGGAACTCCTTGCCAGAGGATGTTATGAAAACCAAAACCATAACAGGGTTCAAAGAAGAACTAGATAAATTTGTGGAGGATAGGTCCATCAATGGCTATTAGCCAGGATGGGCAGGAATGGTGTCCCTAGCCTCTGTTTGTCAGAAGCTGGGAATGAGTGACAGGGGATGGATAACTTGATGATTACCTGTTCTGTTCATTCCCTCTGGGGCACCTGGCACAGGCCACCGTCGGAAGATAGGGTACTGGGCTAGATGGACCTTTGGTCTTACCCAGTCTGTACATTCTTATGTAGGTCGACTTACCGCAATAGTGTAGACATAGCCTTGGTTTTATCACGGCAGAGTAGTTTCATGTGAACTAACCTCTTCCATTACTGTACTACTTTAAGCAACTGCAAATAGTAGAATTGTAGTATGAGTTTTGGTACACCAAGGCCCTCCCTGTTTAATATTAGATGAAAGGTTCTGTGGATTATTGGCTACTACTGAGATCCCAACAATTGAGTTAATAAATACAGAATTCCAAACCATCTAATTGTATGGAACTCAGAGCTTGGATTTTCCAGCTTTCAATTTTGCTAAGCATTAGCATTTAAAGGAGGTATTCCTGACCTGTCTGGATTGAGAACTTCACGTCAGTAGCTCAAACTAACAAGAGGAAGAGGGATACAATATTTAAAGTGTAAAGTTGGGATTCAGTGAAAAGAAGTCTCAGAACCAACTTAAAGCATATAACCAGTTCAATTGTTAAAACTTCAGATTGACTAACTCACTTCTTCACTCAGGATAGCCAGCCATGCTCTGGGCATCCGAAGACATGAAGTTCTAGTAAAAGGTCCTTCACTACACAAACACAGAACTTCACTACAGTGGTAATTTACTACTGAGGATAACTGCCTCTTTTGAAATTAAAAGGTGTAGTTTTATCACTGATGAGATACTTCTCTAGCATGAGTAGACTGTAGCATTTCATGGCTTTTTGCCCTGGTTTGGACACACAAGGCTTTCGTTCCCTAAACAAAGCCCTGAAAATTTTGGCCTTAGCTGGAAACATAAAACTGCCTATACTTACAAAAAGGAAAATCAGAATTTGATGCTGATCACCATGACAGTACACTACTTGCATATTTGTACATGCCCTTCCATCATGTATTCCTAAGAGGAACTCTGATATTGGCCACAAACTGCCCAGAATGCTTGTGATTGTGTGCACATGACATTGTCTTGTGCACATGACAAGACAATGTGCACATGTCTTGTGCACATGCTTGTGTGCACATGACATTCATTTTTCAGTTCTGACTTGATTAGAGTCTGATTCCAATCCTAGTAGTCCTCCAGTTCAAATTACATTGAAAACAGATGCTTCCAGCGTGGCTTGGGGAATTTGAAGAAACTTTGTAATCAAGAGAAAAGGAGAAACAAAAGCAGACCTCCTGCCTTGAGAAGTCCTCAAGATATGGAAATCAGTGCTTTCCAAAGAGAGCTTCATTACTGTTTGTTGCAGAAAATCCTAGCAAACTCACACACCACATTACAGTCATGAGTAATTCAAAAAGGGGCAAGCAGGATCTTTCTTGATTGTTGGGAACAGAGGGGGTGGGAATAGAAAGCTCCCAATCTTCAGAAGAGAAAAGGAGTCTCATTTTTGGATAATCACTGCCTTTGAGTCATTAACTTTCTTTTCTGGTAGTTAATTTCTGAGAACATCCACAGTTATATTAGATGGGATACAGCAAGGACAAAACCAACCTCTAACTGACTGGGTTAGGAATATGCTTCCCCTGTCAGCCAGTTACTCCATAACTGTCTACTATAGAATTTTTGCACATATGTCTGTTGCAGTAGCAGCTGAAGTTAGCCAAGAGACTAGTTCCTAGACTGAACTGGCTGCAGGAGGGCATTCTCAGTAGATCAGCTGGGATTCTGGAACTTTCTTCCCACTGGTCCAGGTTTGTTTCATCTTTAGGGACATTGGAAGAGTCATGACTCTTCACCAACTTTTGGTTGAGGTACAGGGTTGGGTTGGCATAAGAGTTTGGCTGAATGTGCAGTTACTTTATGCTTCATCATAAAGTACTATAAAATGCCAAATATTAGAGTAGTTAATTCCCAGATCCACCCTCAAACACATGGATGAAACTTTAACTGATTTCCCTGGAGATTTACTTCAGTGGGAGATCCACCCGTGTAGCTGAGGGACAGAATTGGGCCATTAGGTTTCCATCTTGAAACCTCCCAACCAGCCCCATTTGAACCTTTTTATGTCATTATCTGTAAATTGAATCCCAAAAGCAATGCCTTGTGCCTAGATTAGACAGACCTCAGTACAGAGATTTTTCCCCCATCTCTGTTTTATTTGACATGCAGTACATTAGGTCCAGCCTCTGTCAGCAAACTACATTGAAATGCTGCATAGTTATTTGCAGATTACATTGTTACTAGAGGCCCAAAAATAAGTATAGTCAGCCAGAGCTAAGCAACAATAGCCAGAGTCTTATCAGTCCTTTTGGAATTCATTATATACTTTTACAGAACATCATTGTGTTGTAATTCAATTACATCATGCAGAGAATCTAAGCCTGACCTGGCAATTCAGCAAGGGCAGTTTCCCAACTGAGCATACAACTTTCTCCTCTCTCAGCATCCGTTTTTTTCAGGACGGTTTCCTATATCACATATTGCACATTAATATCTTTATATACTTAGAAAACAAATTTTTGATCCATTAGTTCACAGTGACTGTCCAAGACTTGGTTCTATCTAGTTAGCATGGCTATGAGCCAGCCAAACTGTCTGCATGCTCAGGCCTCCGTTTTCATTGAGAAAGTTATGGACATGAACAGTAAGCATGCTTCCATAGGAAAGAGCTTTAGTGGTCTTTAATTTTATTCCTTAAATCCCCAAATAACAAGTGCATCTAGTAATAAAAATATGTGCTGGAAATATTGATCTGAAATTATACATTGCAAGTTATTTGGAATTGGTTCCTTCCCATGCTCTTAATCTCATTACATAAAACAGGCCACCAGGCTGGTAATGGTCATGGGCTAAGTATGATAGTCTGTGCTGGCATGCAGGAGATCCACACTTGTCCCAACTCCCAGATCTACGGCCTGATTTCAGTAGAGTAACTCCTTATTCACACTGGTGGAAGGACTCAGTCCCACAAGTGCTCTTAATGCTTCATCAGGAGATGAAAGCACTCAGCACCCTCAGAAGGTGCTCAGTCTCTTGCAGGATGAGGTCCTATCAAATTCCTGGTCTCTTGGTTTCCTGACTTACAGTAGCTGGAAGTGCTGTGCAGCTAAATTGCTCAGCTCTAAGCAGGGAGACAGCCCCATATTAACACAGCAGTGAATAAGAGTGCTTGTCTACTGTCTCTGAAGGAAATCCTGACTAGTCTTTACATGGAAGGGACCCCAGAGGTGGGGTATTGTAAAGCTTTGGGAAAGCAGGGTAATTCATGGGGCTGTGCCCAGGATGTAGAGAATTGCCTCCTCACCCACCCACACCTTCCAGAAAGCTTCTATGGTAATAATATTTTTTGAAATAGCAGCATGCCTTAGCTTCAAATGTCTCACTGCTACTGTCTACTAGACCACTTATTTTAACTTGTTTAAAGTGTTCCCGATAGAGATCTGATGTGCCAAGTTTCCTCCCAGGGCAGCTCTTATTCATTTGTAAAATGGGATTTGAAGTATAGTGGTAGTATGACTGTCTTACCTAAAGCTGTGTGAATAAGAGCATGCATTGTATTGTGTGTGTGAAGATACCTGGTAAACAGATGCCCCCTTGTATCCATTTTCTAGACCTTTAAGCCTTAGAATCATAGAATCATAGAATATCAGGGTTGGAAGGGACCCCAGAAGGTCATCTAGTCCAACCCCCTGCTCGAAGCAGGACCAATTCCCAGTTAAATCATCCCAGCCAGGGCTTTGTCAAGCCTGACCTAAAAACCTCTAAGGAAGGAGATTCTACCACCTCCCTAGGTAACGCATTCCAGTGTTTCACCACCCTCTTAGTGAAAAAGTTTTTCCTAATATCCAATCTAAACCTCCCCCACTGCAACTTGTGACCATTACTCCTCGTTCTGTCATCTGCTACCATTGAGAACAGTCTAGAGCCATCCTCTTTGGAACCCCCTTTCAGGTAGTTGAAAGCAGCTATCAAATCCCCCCTCATTCTTCTCTTCTGCAGGCTAAACAATCCCAGCTCCCTCAGCCTCTCCTCATAAGTCATGTGTTCCAGACCCCTAATCATTTTTGTTGCCCTTCGCTGGACTCTCTCCAATTTATCCACATCCTTCTTGAAGTGTGGGGGGCCCAAAACTGGACACAGTACTCCAGATGAGGCCTCACCAATGTGGAATAGAGGGGAACGATCACGTCCCTCGATCTGCTCGCTATGCCCCTACTTATACATCCCAAAATGCCATTGGCCTTCTTGGCAACAAGGGCACACTGCTGGCTCATATCCAGCTTCTCGTCCACTGTCACCCCTAGGTCCTTTTCCGCAGAACTGCTGCCTAGCCATTCGGTCCCTAGTCTGTAGCTGTGCATTGGGTTCTTCCGTCCTAAGTGCAGGACCCTGCACTTATCCTTATTGAACCTCATCAGATTTCTTTTGGCCCAATCCTCCAATTTGTCTAGGTCCTTCTGTATCCTATCCCTCCCCTCCAGCGTATCTACCACTCCTCCCAGTTTAGTATCATCCGCAAATTTGCTGAGAGTGCAATCCACACCATCCTCCAGATCATTTATGAAGATATTGAACAAAACCGGCCCCAGGACCGACCCTTGGGGCACTCCACTTGATACCGGCTGCCAACTAGACATGGAGCCATTGATCACTACCCGTTGAGCCCGACAATCTAGCCAGCTTTCTACCCACCTTATAGTGCATTCATCCAGCCCATACTTCCTTAACTTGCTGACAAGAATACTGTGGGAGACCATGTCAAAAGCTTTGCTAAAGTCAAGAAACAATACATCCACTGCTTTCCCTTCATCCACAGAACCAGTAATCTCATCATAAAAGGCGATTAGATTAGTCAGGCATGACCTTCCCTTGGTGAATCCATGCTGGCTGTTCCTGATCACTTTCCTCTCATGCAAGTGCTTCAGGATTGATTCTTTGAGGACCTGCTCCATGATTTTTCCAGGGACTGAGGTGAGGCTGACTGGCCTGTAGTTCCCAGGATCCTCCTTCTTCCCTTTTTTAAAGATTGGCACTACATTAGCCTTTTTCCAGTCATCCGGGACTTCCCCGGTTCGCCACGAGTTTTCAAAGATAATGGCCAATGGCTCTGCAATCACAGCCGCCAATTCCTTCAGCACTCTCGGATGCAACTCGTCCGGCCCCATGGACTTGTGCACGTCCAGCTTTTCTAAATAGTCCCTAACCACCTCTATCTCCACAGAGGGCTGGCCATCTCTTCCCCATTTTGTGATGCCCAGCGCAGCAGTCTGGGAGCTGACCTTGTTAGTGAAAACAGAGGCAAAAAAAGCTTTGAGTACATTAGCTTTTTCCACATCCTCTGTCACTAGGTTGCCTCCCTCATTCAGTAAGGGGCCCACACTTTCCTTGGCTTTCTTCTTGTTGCCAACATACCTGAAGAAACCCTCTTGTTACTCTTAACATCTCTGGCTAGCTGCAGCTCCAGGTGCGATTTGGCCCTCCTGATATCATTCCTACATGCCCGAGCAATATTTTTATACTCTTCCCTGGTCATATGTCCAACCTTCCACTTCTTGTAAGCTTCTTTTTTATGTTTAAGATCCGCTAGGATTTCACCATTAAGCCAAGCTGGTTGCCTGCCATATTTACTATTCTTTCGACTCATTGGGATGGTTTGACCCTGTAACCTCAACAGGGATTCCTTGAAATACAGCCAGCTCTCCTGGACTCCTTTCCCCTTCAAGTTAGTCCCCCAGGGGATCCTGGCCATCCGTTCCCTGAGGGAGTCGAAGTCTGCCTCACAGCAGGAGTTTGCCTGGGACTGGTAAGTATCCGAGTGTGTGTTTGTTTGCTTGCTGAGGAAGTATCCTTCTTTCATGCAAGTCCCTATGACTTAAGTTTCCTTCCTGACCCCATCCACTTCACCTCCTCCAAAATCCCTTCAGGGTTGGATATAAACACTAATAGTAGTTTGGTTTAATACAGTGATTCTCAACCTGTGGTTCGCAGACCCCTGGGTGTGTCCGCAGACTAAGATTTCCAAAGGGGTCCACACCTCCATTTGAAATTTTTTAGGGGTCCTCAAATGAAAAAAGGTTGAAAACCACTGGTCTAGTAGATGAGATGCTGGTCTGGGAGTTGGACTTGGATTCTGTTCCTAGCTCTGCCCTGACCTGCCATGTCACCTACAGCAAGTCACCTCTCAGTGCCTCTGTGGGTTTCTCCTCCTACCTTCTGTCTTGTTTATTTGGCTTAGAAACAATTTTGGGGTAGGAGCCATTTCTTACTGTGCATGTTTACATTGCCTAGCACAGTGGGACCCTGATCTCCCAGTTGGAGCCTTGATGCACTACTGTTATACAAATAAATAAAACTAAATATGCATTGTTTAATTGAACCTCTTGCACAAAGTGACTGGAAAGCCAGGTTCTCTCCTCATGGTTCTGCCTCTTTACTAAGAAAGGAGTGTTTTAAAGTGAGCAAATTTGCATATATGAGGTTAGAGTGCGGCCTCTGTGCCTCCCAGATTCTGGATATGGCTGGGGATCAGAGTAGCCCTACAGTAAGTTAGAGCAGGCCCCCAAGGGCTGCTCTCATGTATGGTAGACTCCCTTCATCTGCTTATGGGCTGCTTTGCAGCCTAAAATAGGCCAAGTGCAAAGCACTGTGGCCACTCTCCCTCATGCCTCTGAAATGCTCTCTCTGGTTCCATCCCCAGCATGGCCTTTTGCCTGGGGTTACGGGTGGAGGGAGGTACAGTGTAGGGCAATGTCAGTCATACATTGCTCCTGTTCTGGGGCTTTCACCTGAGGTCATTGTGGCTTCTTTATACTCCTGCAAGTCACCAGTGGCATATATAGGGGCCAGAATCTGACCCAATGTGTATTAATTTGATCATCATAACTGAGGATATCTGAATTTAATGTATTCTGTCACTTAGAGTTAAAAAAAATTCTGAATACTGCCAACAAGATAGTAATCTTAAATTCCCAGAACACCATGTTGGTAAAACTGACTAACTCATTGCCGTAAGACATAATTGAGAACAAGTGAAGCAGGATTTGAAGAAGGATTACACACACATGGTTTAGAAATGTCCACAGTTCAGATTAAAAATAAGGATATAAACCCTCATGCATCAGAGCATAAATTAGCCATTAACTAGCTAGGAAGAAACATTATAGGCATAACTCTGTAGAGAGTTTTGAACCTTCATCTGAAGAATCAAAGTGATCACTGTCCGAGACTGGTTGGTGGATTTGATGGATGGCTAGTTTTCATCCTGTCTGTCAAATTTTTTGTTCTTAAAAGAGCAGAAAATGCTATCTTTGTATCTCATGTTGTTCATTTTCTTACCCAAAATATCCAGATGACTGCACAATTTATTATGTATCGCAAGCAGAACAAGAGAAGACCCAGTTTAGTGGCAATGGAAGTGGAACCATTACTTGTGAACGAAGAGGATTCCTAACATCTCTATGTACTGTTATTTTTTTTCAATAAAGTTTACATTTGGAGGACTTGAAGATTTTTCACAGAGTAAAGATTAAAATTGCATAGGGACCAAGCTTATTGTCAGTGGCTTATTCTTTGTAATATTGTGAAGATACTACAAAAGAAAATATTATTTAATGTCTACTGTACTGTAAGTGCTAAGATGGCACATGTAATCAACACATTTTCTTCTGAATTACCACAGTTTAGTCTTTTGTCTCTTGCAATGTGTTGTGCTCTACAGTGAGGAGTGCTTTAAAAATACCTAGAATATATAATCTCATGGTATATTCCATATTGTAAAATAATTCAGAAGTGTGCTGGATATACTGTTGTAATTCAGTGCAGATATTTTCTCAACCTAGCAAGCTGTTGCGGCAAAATGTAGTATAACTAAACTGTAAATTATAAGGCCATCTGAACATTTTTAATCCTGCCACCATATGTAAACAGCAGGCCTATATTTTGTAGATACACATATATAGCTCATTAATGATAACATGGAAATATGAAGTCACCAACTGAAATTCACCCATGTGCCACAAGTCCTCACAATGCATATATATCACTTAAGGACAGGTTTCAGAGTAGCAGCCGTGTTAGTCTGTATCTGCAAAAAGAAAAGGAGTACTTGTGGCACTTTAGTAACAAATTTATTTGAGCATAAGCTTTCGTGAGCTACAGCTCACTTCATCGTAGCTCATGAAAGCTTATGCTCAAATAAATTTGTTAGTCTCTAAGATGCCCAAGTACTCCTTTTCTTTTTTGCATATCACGTAAGGTTTTTTTAAGCCTTCAGAATAGGGTGGTGCATAGGCCTTGTGTGGGCTCTCCATACAGGGCTGAATTTCATCCACTTCAAGAGGAGAACGAAGCCTTTAAATGCCTTTAATTGAGTGATTTTAATCCAAAGGCCAAATTCTGAACGCATAAGAACATGTAATGGGTCTGTTCATGTAATTCCCATTAAAATAATTGGGAGCCTCACACACAGTCCAGTATAGAATTTTACTCTGTGCATTTGTTCTCTTCTTGATGTGTGCACGTTATTTTCATTAAGATAATACTTGTTTAGTGCATGTTATGTGGAATGTACTTATAAATTACTGTATATCTACATTTTGCACAACCTTCCTCTCTTTTCAGCCTTCTGCATACATATGGTCTAATAATTAGAAATTAGAGATAAAAGACTGAGTGCATTTTTTTTTCTAATGAAGGATTACTGGGAGGTATGTCTTTAATTTTATATACTTTGAGCAATAGAGACAAGGAAAAATAAATCATTTTGTCCAAAATGTGTATTGAAAAGTAACTAAACTTTTTGCTGACAAAAACTGCCATAAGATTGTCAACAAAAAAATTCTCACCATTTTAAAAATCTAAATCTTGTGTCTCTTCATATGGATTATTCAGGATTTTCCTTTTGTATAAATTCTGATAACAGTGTTAAAAGGGACACTTAATTTGAAACTTATCCAATTTAAAAAATAATAGTTTCAGTTACTACATCTGCCCCTGAGTTCCCCTGCTAAATTTTGTGGTTTTACATTTTCTAAATTTTAAATCCTTTTCTGTCTTGTCACACCTGTATAAAATGAGAAAAAAAATTAACTGTGGGGATACAGTCTGTACGGTAAGTGCTGTCAAATGTACAGACTGAAAATAAAGTTAACTCTGTAACCTTTCACTAGAGTTTAAGTATTACTTCTAAAAACATGTTAAGGATCAAACAATTTTTAAATTAAGACATAAAATAATCTTCCATTAAAGTTGGAATGATCTAATCACTGCAGCAGTATGTTATGTGCAAGTTAAAATCAGTCATTAGTCCACAAAACCTAAGACTTTGCAGATAGTATGATAATGTTACATATTGTAGGTAGCATCAAATAGCATTGTATGTACTGTAAATAGTTGCAACAGTTCTATATTGTGTAATACTGAATGTGATACAGTAAATATTGACTGGTCAATGTAATTAACATATCTTTCTTACTCAGCAATAATTCTAGGGTTTCTGTTTGTGGTTTTAAAGTTGCAACAACAACTAAGAAATGCTGAAGTAGTGAGCAAGTGGAATTATCCCACTGAGTATCTTGGAAGTATTCCTCCAAGTGCTTTTAAGATACATACCAGTATTAGATTTCAGAGGAACAGCCGTGTTAGTCTGTATTCGCAAAAAGAAAAGGAGTACTTGTGGCACCTTAGAGACTAACCAATTTATTTGAGCATGAGCTTTCGTGATGAAGTGAGCTGTAGCTCACGAAAGCTCATGCTCAAATAAATTGGTTAGTCTCTAAGGTGCCACAAGTACTCCTTTTCTTTATACCAGTATTAGGCAATTCTTTCCTTGACTTTAGTGGGGCTTTCTGTGCGCACCTGGGATCAGTCTGCTTGGAGAAGTTTGCAGCATCAGGTTCTAAGTGTATGTTTGAGATGAGTATGTATACTTCCTGATTTCTTAAACTGTTGGGAGGGTGGGTTAGAATTTGATCTTTCCACTGCATAAATTCAGAAACAATTTGTCTCACTTGTAGATTTATATGCTGTATTTAAGAGATTAACCAAAATCTTCCCTTGCTGGTGATTTAAACCGTATCTTGTTACTTTTTAATGCAGTTAACATTTGTTCTTGTATCATTGCTTCAAGGATTATCTTCCCTTTTCATTACATATAGTAATCCTGTTTTGTGTTGTGTGTCCTGAGTTTATGTTGCTATGGTTTATTGAAACAACTAAATATAGGTGATAAACTAAATCACAGTAAATTTTGTAAGAATATTGAAAGATAATGTAACATCTTAATATATAACAATATTAAATATTGTCATTATTTATTGTGTGTGCATGCACATGTGTATATATTTAGGATAGTGTATAGTTTTAATTGAATACTTTAGCTTTAATAAAAATAGGTGTCAAGGTAAATCTTTTGCTGTAACTGTTAACCAAATAAATAGTTATTTCTCATGTATTTCTAACAGTGTTTTTTATTCCATATTAATACATAGGGATTCAGTTTGATCAGTGCACTGATCATCTCTTTTGCCCATCCCATGGTTATTCTGTTCTCCGAGACAGATCCTTAACTGATGTAAGTCAGCATAGCTCTATTGAAATCAGTAGAATATACTCCAGTTGAGGATCTGTCCAGGGCTATTCCTTGTTTGTTAATTTGAAAGAGAGTGTGAAATAATGCTTGTAACATCCAGCATAGCTACTTGGGTAAGAGAAGAAAACTGACTTAATCTCCTTGCTCTGTCCCACTAATTCTTCCCCACGCTTCTTGTAATCCAAGATTAATAGCATTGTTTTCTTGTTTACTGTCATGAAAACCTGATTAACTAAAGGAGGCATCTAAAATGTCTCTAGGGCTCCCTGTATAGTTAAACGCACAATATGAATCTTGTCATAGGGCATACCTACCTAAACTAACTCTTCAGCCGAAAGAAAACGATTCTAAATCTGAGTGACCCCAAGGTCATTGCACAGGGTTTCCAATTACTTGTGTCAATAAAGCAGACAGATACTGAACTGCTTCTGACCATCTCCTGAAGTTTATGTATGCTGGCAAATTTTCTAAAATTGTTTTTATGCACCCTCCCAAACTGTCAAAATAGCCTAGAATAAGTGGTTTAGCTACACCCATAGGAAACATCAGGCAAAAGCTGCTGCTGCTGCTTGACTCCTTTATGATCTCATAGCTCCCTATTCCTATTAACCAATGTTTACTGTCTACAACCACTTATGGAAGCACTGAAGAAAGATAACATGAGCTCCATGGCAATCCAAAATGCTCCAGAGGGTAATTTTTTTTTGCTTCTGCAGCCCTCTTTTCCTTACAGATGCCATAAACCAGACAAAAAACACAAAAGTTTGAGATTATCTTCAATTTAAATGTCAGAGATTGAAATTTTATTTCTCCATTTGTTCTCCTTACTATGACTAACATGACTAATTGTCCAGCAGATCCTTGCTCACCTGTACCAATTCCAAAGGGACTCTCAAAAATTTCAAAGTACTAGATATCAGGCAATAGGTTCCTGATGTTCAATTCTGCCCTCACATCCATAATTACAGTTCCTATTAACATGAATATGAGGAAGAATTGGGCCCTTGATGTCCAAATAAATAACAATTCTTAGTGGCTAACAGCCTTGGAAGCTTAGAAGTTTCTCAGTTCAGCAAACCTCTCTTGCTATCATACTGAAAAAAGACCAGGGCTCTTCCTCATCCCTTTGTTAATATTAATAATTAAAAGATTAATATATTATAATATTAAACACATAATATTAAATATTATATTAATTTTATATTATATTATTATACATAATATTAAAAGATTAAGAATAGTTTGAAAGAATGGGAGAATGGCATGCTCTCTTACCTAACAGAAGCTTTGTTGAAGTGGTTCTCTTTCTCTAATAACCAGACAACTCAGTGGTTACATGGTAATTACTCCCCGTTTACAGAATCGTATGTAGAATTTACCGGTTTTTCCTGTTATAAGGTAGTTATATACTTGCCTATAGATTATTTTCTTCTGTACTTAACTGTTAAGGCATTTTTTCCCAGATGAAGGCAGTAATTTTTTTCAACTTTTACTGTAGTAATTGCCTCTAGGGTAAAACTGGTGAGTTTTAGTAGAGTTTCCATTATTACATAGGAAGCCTAAAGGTAGAAATGCTAATGTTAGAGAAATCATTTTATTTATTCATAAACAGTGACCCTCACTGACTACCTCATAGATAGGTCTGTGGTGTGTAACATACAGCAAATCAACCTGGCTATCCTTCCTACTTCTTAAGCAATTACTTAATTGCTATTTCCATTCCTCACTGCAGAGTTGTCTTGTTATAGGGGTATTTCCCATCATCCTTTTCTGGAAGGCTGGCCTTTTAAATAGGGTAGAATGAAGCAGCTGCAATACTGAAGTGGTTATTTTGTAACTACCTATGATATCTCCTCATCTTGCTAGTGTGTAACAGAATTCTCTCTAATTTGCCCTTCCTTATTTCTAACTGGCTGGTGTTTGCTGCCAGGTTGGGGAGGACAAGATGAGGAGGAACCCTCAAAATCCTCCTCTTCCTGCTTAAAATAAAAGATTGCTCCTTTTAATAAACTTAAGAGATAATACTCATTATGCTAATTACTGTAATGACTGCTACAGACAGCTGAGGTAACAACAGCCTCTCTGCCAACACTGAGGAGGGAAAGGAAGGTAAAGCACTTGGGTATAATCAATTCCTTTTCTACTTGAGAAGTCTGCGCTTCAGAGGGAGAAATGCCTTCACTTTTCTAGTTGCCCTGAGTCTCCACCATATTAGCAAGGTATGCAGGCTAGAGTCTATTATTTTGTCTGCCAAGCACCCCCCACCCTTTACAGAAGTTATAGACTATTTAGAGGACAGGGGTTGAAAAACATGCCTTATGTACTGTATAGCTATAAAGGAACTAGCATTATCCTGAAAAGTGGGTGGGGGGTCCATTTAATTGAGGTAGCATATAACCTTTATATATAGCAAATTTGTCAATAACTACAGTATTAGAGGGCTCTGTTTCTCTTTTCCTCTCTTCCCTGTCTATGGTGGATATTCCCCCCCCCCCCCCCCCCCCATCCTTGGTTATTTCATGCTAAATTCATTTTATCCTGTATTGGGGCTTTCTTCAGGCCATACTAGATACTAGCTTTGCATCATGCTGGCTTGAAGATCTGAAATGTACCCTGGTCTTGACTGGGTGCATATAGAGCAGCATCCATACTGGAAAAATACATAAACTGCACTTTAGGTTACTTAGCTTCACTTATAGATGTACCTTCTCCTCATTCCAAGATGCAGATATCTGTGCTGTGATTTTCTTAAGGGGCTGCAGTTTACTAGTCAAGGTTTCCACATTTAAAAAAAACTACTTGAGCCCAGGATTTTGATATTTTCAAACTGCACAGCTTATTAATAGGCAGTTAAAAAGCAAAAGACATCAAATACAATCTAGTAGGTGACAAGGAAAAGACACATAAGATGCTTAGGTCAACAGCAGCAGTTAGTCATTCTATTCCCCCTTTCTCCCAGTTAGTTACTCCATGCAGCAGACTTCCTGAGAAACTTCACCTTCAGTCTGGTCAGTACCTGCATTTCATCAGCCACTATATAATCTAGCCCTATAGTAATATAGCCCTATACCTGCCAAAGTAAACAGACTAAAGTCCTTCCTCTAGTAAAAATATTTCTCCTGCTGGTTTCTTATGTCAGGGATTTTAGAAATTATTAATCTTCACATAAAAGAATTCAGTTGTGTGGTTAAGGAGTTTGGTTAATGCTCCCAAGCTCTGTATTCCTTTTAAAGGGCACAGGTCAGTTTAAATTGTTAGGAAAGCAGCATTTGGTTCTGAAGCTTCTGCTGCAGCTCAGAATCTCGTCCAGGGAGAAAAAATTGTGGAGCCCTACCTACAAAGAAAGGAAAGAGAAGGTTCTTTTTGTCAGCTGGGAAGCAATGGTTCTGTAACTGTTCAATTCATATCCTATTCATACTAATGCAGACAAAATGATGACAAGGTCCTGAGTTTATATTCTAAGTTGTGCTTGAGGAAGGCTCTTCCTGTGCTGGTGCTCTTTCTGACTGATGATTCCCAGTGGGCAAACATAGCTTCCTTGAGAGACTAATGAGGGTTCCAGATGCCTAGTCACAGCCTGCCAGAGATGTAGCTTTGCATAAAAAAAATCTTGTGCATTATGTGTTTGTTTCTGTGGCATCAGTGTTTATCACTTCCAAGTGAAACGAGGGCCTTCAATAACTTGTTTAAATGTTAACCAACTTTGGAAGTTGCAGCCTATTTTAGAGCCTTAACACTAAGAAATATGGAATGTGATTGGTTTTCAGATTGCTGATAATCTAGCAAATAGGATTCAGAGCGAGGCTGGAATGCTTTAGTTTTTCAAGATATTTTATACAGACTGTTTAATGTTGCTGAGGGTGAGGGGAAGTTCCTCTGACTCAGATGTTGACTTCTGTTCATGATGTTTGGGCTGTGTTCTATGGGCTACTTCCCTCAACCCCACCCATCTTTGCATCTGGAGGGGGACCCTCTGAACGTGTCTCCCACTTCAATAGAGAAAGGGGACTCCTCCATTTTATGCCTCATCTCATACTGACTACCTCCTTTCTTCCTCTTCGCCCCCTTCCCCCCCCCCATGCCCTCACTCCTGTAGAGGCCGCTCCATGCAATCTGGCCTCTCTGTGGGTAAAGGGTTCGGGGTGGGGGAGCTATGGATGAGGGGGGATACACATAGCCCTTCCTCTGGAAATCAATGTCCAATTGCATTTATCTCCCTCTGGAGGACCTGGTGGGGCTTCTCATAAAAGTTTGGAGGATCAGGCCCAAGCTCTCTGAGTGAATTTATATGGCCCACATATAATATAATCACTTGAGAAAAGAGGGTTTACACTGAAAACTCAGGCAGACTCCTAGCGATAACACTGTGAACAAGGATGCTATAATAATTGGTAAGTACTGTCTGATGCACTGTAACAATTCAGAGTAGCAGCCATGTTAGTTTGTATCCGCAAAAAGAACAGGAGTACTTGTGGCACCTCAGAGCCTAACAAATTTATTAGCGCATAAGCTTTGTAATGATCCAGTAGATCACATTATCAGGTCCTGTGTTTAATTTTCCTGGTCCATCAAATGTCATAGTACATTTGGGCTCCCTGCAGATTTAATTGTCTTTTGTATTTCCGTATAAGTGTAAAAATAACTCTCACTAAATGTGGCAGCTGGGCCACGGGAATTTTTTTAAGGGTACAGTTGTAGACAGAATTCCTAGAACTGATCATATTCCATTATTTGAAATGACTCTAAGCTGTGAGGCCTCATTTCTGTGAAAATGACTGTTGAATTTTTCCTTTGAATTCTGGTTCATGAGTATTTCTAGCCAATTCTTTTGACATTCAAAGTATTAATGGGTCCCTGT